TCATCCCCATACTGAGAGAGCACCGCTCCCTTGGCAAAATCACTGGCATCTGTCTCAACCACCGTTCTCCTACTAGGGTCAAAATGAAGGAGGATTGGAGCGCTTGTGAACAGCCTCTTGAGTTCTTCAAAGGCCTGCTCATGTGCTGCCGTCCAATACCATTTCTTGTCTTTTTGCAGGAGGTCAGTTAATGGTTTGCAAACTTTACTGAAGCCTTCAATAAAGCGGCGATAGAAGTTTGCAAATCCGAGGAATGCCTGTACTGCCTTGATATTTTCAGGGACCGGCCATTCCTTAACTGCCTCCACCTTGTCTTCTGACATAGATACTCCTTCTTCCGAGATGTGATAGCCTAGGTATTCTACTTCTCGGACATGGAAGGATGTTTTACTGATCGAGGCACAGAGCTTAGCTTCCCTAAGCTTCTGTAGTACCTTCTTGACCAATAGCTCATGCTCTTTCTCAGTCTCCGAGTAGATGAGGATGTCATCAATATAGACAACTACTCCTTCATCCAGTAGTTCCTTGAGCACATCATTGATCATTGCCTGGAAAGCGGAGGGAGCATTGCATAGACCAAATGGCATCACATTATACTGATACAGTCCATAGCGGGTTCTGAAAGCGGTTTTCCACTCATCACCTTCTGCTATCCTGATCAGATTGAAGCCGTTCTTCAGGTCTATCTTTGTGAAGATCTTGGCCTTGAACAACCTGTCTCTGAGTTCACTCATGATAGGCAGCGGGTACTTGTCCTTGACAGTGACCTTGTTCAATCCTCTGTAGTCCACACAAATGCGCAATGTCCCATCCTTCTTAGGAATGAACAGTATGGGCGCCGCAGCAGGGCTGTTAGATCTAGAGATCTTTCCTGAAGACAATTCTTTGTCCAGGTACTCTCGGAGGGCCTTCGACTCTGGAGCGGAACATGGGTACAGCGGGCCAAATGGGGGAGCGGTGCCAGGCAAGAGTTTGATCTTCAAATCATTGTGGGAATGCGGCGGCATTTCCTCAATTTTCTCCTGACTGAACACATCAGCCCAATCCCGGTATAGGTGGTGTATTTTCTCAGCAATATCACCTCCGTCCTCATCATGCCATACTGAACCAACCAATTGATAGACTGTCTCTTCTTCTTCCAACATTTGGTATGGAGAGATCAATTCAATCTTGGTGGCCGCTGGGAGACAATTCTGCTTGCAGTAGTCACTCCTCCAGCTCATGGTGTTGAGTTCCCAGTTGATGTCCGGGTTATGCTTCCTAGCCCAACTAATTGGCAAGTAACCGGTCATCCCTTCTTCCAAAGTAGCCACTTCCCATCGGAGTGTCTCCTTATGATCTCCCATAATCATGCGGACCGGGTGAGTGTAATACTCGCCTCCTCCCATCATGACATCTCCTTGAGCATCAAACATTGTCAGAGGTTGATCCCGCCGCACTAAGGGAATTCCATGTTTCCTGACAAAACTCTGGTTGAGGATTGCTCCTGTACAACCGGTGTCAAACAAGAAAGACCCTTGGGTGCCTTCATCCTTTCCTTTGACCGTCCATGACAGTCCTGCCTTCAGTATAGGTCTTTTTCCATGTACTGGTAAGGAGGGAAGTCTCTGTTCCAACCTTCTTTGCTTAACAGCGGGTTCCGAACTTGTTTCTCTTTGTCTTTTCAACATAGCTAATAGCTTCGGGCACTACTAAGATCAAAAGATCCTTTGGTTCTATTCCCAAGCGGTAATATAGCAGATGTATTGTGTAGTAGTCTTTTTAGCAGCGGTTTGGAAGTGTCTTAGTAGCAAATGTAACTTTGGTAGAGCACTGACAGACCAGCTGTTTCGGGTCTTAAACCCATTCTCAGAGTGCTTGGAGCAATCAAGTAGGCGGAAAACACAATCATAATTTATTCAAGAAAAAAACACAAAAACCAAGAAACCCATATAAAGGAAAACTAGTAAACATAGACCCAAACAGACACTTTTCTATCAGATGATTTCATTGTCCGAGTCTTGGTCAGGCTGAAAAACAAAATCTTCTGTAACCTCTGGGAGTACAACTAGTGGATCTTCTGCTACTACAGCAGCCACTTTAGCCTTCTTCTGAGAGTTGGACTTGCCATTCCCTCTTTTCCGCTTTTGTACTCTCACTGCTGCCACTCGGACAACAGTAGGTTCCTTGGACCAACAATCGGTCCATTTGTGTCTGGACTTGCCGCACTATTGCACAAGTCAGTCTATGCACTCTACCAATAGGGAGTACCGGAAGGTTATACCTTCAAGCATACTTCTGCTTTCCTTCTTTCTTCTAGAATATCCCCCGGGATACCCTTCAGTTCCACCGCTTTGTCTTCAGGTCCAGGAGTCTTCTGAGGTCCGGAGGAGCTCGCAGCTTCTCTTTTCCTCTTAGGCTGCTGGTCCTTCTGAGCAGGAGGATCCTTCTTGGTCCGAGGGGGCGCTTTCTCGGCTGCCATCCCTTGGTACCTCTCATGTGTGTGCCCTAACTCTCTAAGAGCAGCTATCCGCTCCATCAAGGACTTTGGCTTGGGATTGAAAAGAGCCCAACTCATGCCTAGGTCCGCAAGGAGGGAATTGTTGATCTTATCATCCACCAACTGACCCTCATAGCCAGTCTTCCACATCAGCTTAATAATAGTATTCAGGAAGAGATCTATTCCTCCTCGGGCTGTGTGGGTAAGGGTGTTCCATTGGGCTACAGCATCATCTCGAGAGATGGCTTCACCGAAGGCTGCTCTAAAAGCATCCACAAATGAATCCCAGCGCTTCCATCTCAAATCCAAAGTCACCGGCATTCCAGCAAGGCGGTTGGCGGAGGCTTGATCAATTGAGTTGTGGTATGCCTCATACCATCTGATCGCTGCCTCTCCTTCCATCAAGTTGCTTGCATATCGGATTTTAACCTCCTCAGAGGTAAATGACAGGCTCTCAATGGAGAACACATTCTCACATTGCCGGATGAAGGTCTCCACTTGCTCTGCCTTGCCCTGAAACTTGGAGGGTGGTGGTGCCTTTGGTTCTCGAGCTCTGGTGGAAGTAGAAGGGTGAGAGTTGGCCGGAGGTTGATACTGCTGGGACATAATAGGAAACAAATCTTTCTGTTGCTTCTCCAACTTCTTCTTAAGGTATCTCCGCCAGCCTTTTCTATTACCACCTTCTGGTTCCGAGTCTGAACTATCAGAACTGTCGGAATCACCTGGAGGGGGAGCGTGGGCCGCCGGAGGTGGAGGGTTCTGGTTTCCACCGCTTCCACCCTGCACATCAGCTGGCGGGGGAGCGGCGGACTGAGCAGGAGGGGCCACAGGTGCCACTGGTGCCGGATTGCTGGCCAATGGTGAGGTTGCTGCTGGTTGAGCGGCCCCAGACATGGTGAACCTTCCCGGGTTCCTGGCTAGCGGACTGGGAGGTCCTCGGCCTGCACCTGAGAAGAACTCTCCTTCATAATCAAAGGATCGGTCAGCTCCTCCAAGGAGTGGGTGTGATCCACCGAAGCGGCTAGGTGGTAAGGGTGAGGCTCCCACCGCTGACTGTACAATAGGGATAACTCTCCTAGTGGATCTGACCGGAAATGCTGCAAAGGGACTGGTCCTCCGCTGCATTGTCCTGGTAGCTGTTCTGGAAGAGGACCTGGAGACTGGATTTAGTGCCGGAGTTGCTGGTCTGGCCACTACCAGTCTTCCTTCATCAAGGGCTCTCTGTATCTCGGCAACAAAGTCTGGTGGAGTAGCCGGGTTTGTCCACTCAATCTCCATGGCATCGGCATTCAGTTCATCTCTCTCCACATACTTCCGGAGTTCTTCCTGAACAGAGTTGACCTCCATCCTCATGTACTCAAGAGCTTCTGCCACCAGAGCATTCTGTGCTGCCTGGCGCTCTTGTACAAGGAGTAGGGCCTGACTGCCCCGGGTTAACTGATTCTGCAGGCTATGCTGGAGGTAGGTCTGGAGCTCTGTGAAGAACTGTTGGACCGAAATCTCGTCGGTATCCTGCCAGGCAGGCTCACAGCCGGGAATGTAGGTCTGTAGAGCGGTCCTGGGCTTCTTGACAAGCTGTGTCTGCCCGGTGGCATCAAGCTGGAGGGGCACCGGCTGCCATTCAATCTGCAGGGGCACATCCGGAGCGGGGAGGGCGGACATTTTGTATAGAGGAAGAATAATCTGAAGGTGACTTGAGCCTTAAAGATTATCTGTAACGGGGGTCCTTTCTAAGAGAAATAGAATCGGATAGAATAGAGACGGTGTGAGGGATGCGTACCAGACCGCAAGAGTACACTACGCAGAGCTCAGAGTTCGGCTAACAGCTACAAAGGTAGAAGTCTCCAAGGTCTCTTCAGTCAACGTCGAGTATGATTCTCCTCGATCCGATACGGGCCCCGCGAGCTACGTTATCAACAAAGATTCACTAGAGTTAGCGTGTGATGTTCGACCGTCTTCGACGTAATAGTTCAGGTAGAGTTCGAAGTCACGATAGAGTAAAGTAATCCAGAAAGTATAGTCAAATAAAGTTGTAACTCGCGTATCAACGATTTATATTGTTAAGACTCTGATTTCGCCGATGATGGTTTGGCTAGTCAGTGAATGACACAGTATTTATATCCCTCGCTTATGTCTCGAGGATCCAATCTACTAATAACACAGAATACACTCGGGGCATGCCCGAGACCCTGAGAAACAACCAAGAACATTTAACTCCTAAATCCGTAACCCAAACTCCTAAAGCCGCTAAAACCCCTCAACCTTTTTATCCACTCTAATGCACGTTTCCCTGTCAATGTTTCTTCCCCATCGGCCGTCTGGTGGATAATCGTCAGCGTCGGCTATTCGGAGGTCTCGGACGGCAAGGCTACCTACTCAGGCCTCTTCCCACATCGCTTTCCCACATAGCAGAGTCCTCTCATGCCCACAGGTACCGCCGATAGGTACTCGGTCGGCTGGCAGCTTGCGCCGATTCGCTCCGAGCGGTCCGATCTTCGATCCGATTGATTCCAGCTGTCCCTCATATATCCACCGGTACCAAAACACTCCCCTCCGGCGGTTTGACGCTCCGGGGGTTATTATTGGGGTCGAAAACGTGTTTTTTATGACTCTGGGTTTTTGGTCCTAATTTGGTCGCACCACACTTCCCGTAAATGCTTGGCATGCCCGTAACAGGAGAGATCAATTCAATCTTGGTGGCCGCTGGGAGACAATTCTGCTTGCAGTAGTCACTCCTCCAGCTCATGGTGTTGAGTTCCCAGTTGATGTCCGGGTTATGCTTCCTAGCCCAACTAATGGGCAGGTAACCGGTCATTCCTTCTTCCAAAGTAGCCACCTCCCACCGGAGTGTCTCCTTATGATCTCCCATAGTCATGCGGACCGGGTGAGTGTAATACTCGCCTCCTCCCATCATGATATCTCCTTGAGCATCAAACATTGTCAGAGGTTGATCCCGCCGCACTAAGGGAATTCCATGTTTCCTGACAAAACTCTGGTTGAGGATAGCTCCTGTACAACCGGTGTCAAACAAGAAAGACCCTTGGGCGCCTTCATCCTTTCCTTTGACCGTCCATGACAGTCCTGCCTTCAGTATAGGTCTTTTTCCATGTACTGGTAAGGAGGGAAGCCTCTGTTCCAACCTTCTTTGCTTAACAGCGGGTTCCGAACTTGTTTCTCTTTGTCTTTTCAACATAGCTAATAGCTTCGGGCACTACTAAGATCAGAGATCCTTTGGTTCTATTCCCAAGCGGTAATATAGCAGATGTATTGTGTAGTAGTCTTTTTAGCAGCGGTTTGGAAGTGTCTTGGTAGCAAATGTAACTTTGGTAGAGCACTGACAGACCAGCTGTTTCGGGTCTTAAACCCATCCTCAGAGTGCTTGGAGCAGTCAAATAGGCGGAAACACAATCATAATTTATTTAAGAAAAACATAGAAAACCGGAAAAACCCATATAAAAAGAAAACTAGTAAACATAGACTAAAACAGACACTTTTCCACCAGAGGATTTCATTGTCCGAGTCTTGCTCAGGCTGCAAAACAAAATCTTCTGTAACCTCCGGGAGTACAACAAGTGGATCCTCTGCTACAACAGCAGCCACTTTAGCTTTCTTCTGAGAGTTGGACTTGCCATTCCCTCTCTTCCGCTTTTGTACTCTCACCGCTGCCACTCGGACAACAGTAGGTTCCTTTGATGAACAATCGGTCCATTTGTGCCTGGACTTGCCGCACTATTGCACAAGTCAGTCTATGCACTCTACCAATAGGGAGTACCGAAAGGTCATACCTTCAAGCATACTTCTGCTTTCCTTCTTTCTTCTAGAATATCCCCCGGGATACCCTTCAGTTCCACCGCTTTGTCCTTAGGTCCGGGAGCCTTCTGAGGTCCGGAGGAGCTCGCAGCTTCTCTTTTCCTTTTTGGCTGCTGGTCTTTCTGGGCGGGAGGATCTTTTTTGGTCCGAGGGGGCACTTTCTCAGCTGCCATCCCTTGATACCTCTCATGTGTGTGCCCTAACTCTCTTAGAGCAGCTATCCGCTCCATCAAGGACTTTGGCTTGGGATTGAAAAGTGCCCAACTCATGCCTAGGTCCGGGAGGAGGGAATTGTTGATTTTATCATCCACCAACTGACCCTCATAGCCAGTCTTCCACATCAGCTGAATAATAGTATTGAGGAAGAGATCAATTCCTCCTCGAGCTGTGTGGGTAAGGGTATTCCAATGGGCTACAGCATCATCTCTAGAGATGGCTTCGCCGAAGGCAGCTCTAAAAGCATCCACAAAGAAATCCCAGCACTTCCATCTCTGATCCAACACCACCGGCATCCCAGCAAGACGGTTGGCAGAGGTTTGATCAATTGAATTGTGGTATGCCTCATACCAACGGATCGCTGCCTCTCCTTCCATCAAGTTGCCTGCATATCGGATCTTGACCTCCTCGGAGGTAAATGACAGGCTCTCAATGGAGAACACATTCTCACATTGCCGGATGAAGGTCTCCACTTGCTCCGCCTTGCCTTGGAACTTTGAAGGGGGTGGTGCCTTTGGTTCTCGGGCCCTGGTAGAAGTAGAAGGGGGAGAGGCGGCCGGAGGTTGGTAGTGTTAGGACATTATAGCCAACAAATCCTTTTGTTGCTTCTCAAGCTTCTTCTTGAGGTATCTCCGCCAGCCTCTTCTATCACCACCTTCTGGTTCCGAGTCTGAACTATCAGAACCATCTGAATCTCCGGGAGCGGGAGCATGGGCCACGGGAGGTGGAGGGTTCTGGTTTCCACCGCTTCCACCCTGTGCATTAGCTGAAGGGGGAGCGGCGGCCGCAGTAGGAGGGGCCACAGGTGCTACTGGTGCCGGGTTGCTGGCCAATGGTGAGGTTGCTGCTCCTTGAGCGGCTCCAGATATAGTGAACCTTCCCGGGTTCCTAGCTAGTGGACTGGGAGGTCCTCGGCCTGCACCTGGGTAGAGCTCTCCTTTATAGTCAAAGGATCGGTCGGCTAATCCAAGGAATGGGTTTATTCCTGCGAAGCGGCTAGGAGGTAAGGGAGATGCTCCCACCGCTGGCTGCACAATAGGAACAACTCTCCTAGTGGATCGGACCGGAAATGCTGCAAAGGGGCTGGTCTTTCGCTGCATTGTTCTGATAGCTGCCCTGGAAGAGGACCTGGAGCCTGGATTTGGTGCCGGAGTTGCTGGTCTTCCCACCACCAGTCTTCCTTCATCAAGGGCTCTCTGTATCTTGGCCACAAAGTCTGGCGGAGTGGCCGGGTTTGTCCACTCAATCTCCATGGCATCGGCATCCAGTTCATCTCTCTCCGCATACTTCCGGAGTTCTTCCTGGACAGAGTTGACTTCCTTCCTCATGTACTCAAGAGCTTCGGCCATAAGAGCATTTTGTGCTGCCTGGCGCTCTTGTACAAGGAGTAGTGCCTGACTGCCCCGGGTCAACTGGTTCTGCAGGCTGTGCTGGAGATAGGTTTGGGGCTCTGTGAAGAACTGCTGAATGGAAACCTCATCGGTATCTTGCCAGGCAGGCTCACAACCGGGGATGTAGGTCTGTAGAGCGGTCCTGGGCTTCTTAACAAGCTGTGTCTGCCCGGTGGCATCAAGCTGGAGGGGCACTGGCTGCCATTCAATCTGCAGGGGGGCATCCGGAGCTGGGAGGGCGGACATTTTTTTGTATAGAGGAAGAATAATCTGAAGGTGACTTGAGCCTTAAAGATTATCTGTAACGGGGGTCCTTTCTAAGAGAAATAGAATCGGATAGAATAGAGACGGCCGTGCAAGATAGACAATCAGGTTGCAGATTATTCAAAGATACTATCGCTAGAACTCAATAATCTTTAAGGGCTCTGCTACCGATAAGAACTTGGTTTTTCTTTTTGATGAAGACTCGAGAGAATAGGACTAAAGGGCGAGAATGAACCTGAGTACTTATACTCCGAAGGCTTCTATTCTCTGCTCTTAACTCCTTACTAAATTCCGGTGGGGCCTTTCCTCGGTGCCGGAAACAATACCACGGCTACCCCGCTTTTCTCTAAGCGTCAGCAGGTGTTTCCGATACCCAAGGCAACCACCTTTTAGTCAAAGCCTTAGTAACACCTGCAGCCTTGGTTGCCACACAACCGAGGACCTGCATGAATGAGCTCCCACTCAGGTGTAAGCTTAATCATTGCTGTAGAGCTTTCACTTATTGTAGGCTTCCCTAGCATAGTCCCTGCCGCTTCGGCGGACAAACAATGCTCCGAGGGTACAGAGGATCACCGGGCAATCAGAGCTTCACTCTGGCCGGTCTTCTAGTCACTGGCGAGGTATAGACTCGTCAGTCATTACTCCCATGAATAGATCCCCTTCTGTAACGGGGGTCTCTTCTAAGAGAAATAGAATAAGATAGAATAGAGACGGCCGTGCAAGATAGACAATCAGGTTGCGGATTATTCAAAGATACTATCGCTAGAACTCAATAATCTTTAAGGGCTCTGCTACCGATAAGAACTTGGTTTTTCTTTCTAATGAAGACTGGAGAGAACAGGACTCAAGGGCGAGAATGAACCTGAGTACTTATACTCCGAAGGCCTCTGTTCTCTGCTCCTAACTCCTTTACTAAGTTTCCGGTGGGCCTTCCCTCAGTACCGGAAACAATACCACCGCTACCCCGCTTTTCTCTAAGCGTCAGCAGGTGTTTCCGATACCCAAGGCAACCATCCTTAGTCAAAGCCTTTGTAACACCTGCAGCCTTGGTTGCCACACAACTGAGGACCTGCATGAATGAGCTGCCGCTCAGGTGTAAGCTTAATCATTGCTGTAGAGCTTTCGCTTATTGTAGACTTCCCTAGCATAGTCCCTGCCCTTCGGCGGACTTACAATGCACCGAGGATACAGAGGATCACCGGTCAATCAGAGCTTCACTCTGGCCGGTCTTCTAGTCACTGGCGAGGCATAGACTCGTCAGTCATTGCTCCCATGAATAGATCCTCTTCCTAGCGCCCGGAATGTAGTTACTCTAACAGCTGGTAGCTAACCACACTGCCGGTACTTGCATATCACCGTGCAACTGGCTTCTAACAATAACTCTCAGCATGTAACCGGGCCCTGTGTGTACTCATACACCAGACAGTTGAAATGGCTCCGTTACACCACTCCCCTCTTCCAGGATCTTGGTCTCCGAGATCTATAACCATTCTATTACCATTCTATATGACAAGAAAACTCCGTGATATGCAAGGAAATGAAAACCCAAAGGAAATAATCTACACCCCAACAATCCGCTTGTCCTTGGGTTTCTTAGGATACCTCATATGGAAATCCCGAAGGGCTTCTTCAGCACTCTTCTTGAGATGCTCCCAAGGTTCCCATGTAGCATCCTCGTTCTCATAACCTTCCCACAGCACTAGATATTCCACTCGTCTTCTCTTCTTATTGACCCGGCTATCAGCTACCTCTCGGACAACCCAGTTCTGTTCTCCCTCAACCTCTTCGGGTTCCGGTGGGGGAACTCTTCTCTCAGAATCTACCGGTGCTCTGTAGGGTTCTAGGAGAGAGACATGAAAGACCGGGTGGATTCCCATCTGGGGGGGAAGAGAGAGCTTGTAGGCACGGGTACCAATAGCTTCTAAGACCTTAAAGGGTCCCATCTTCTTCTGATCCAGTTTTCCCAGAGGCCGCTTTGTTTGCACATTGCGCCGGTCCAACATTACTTCATCTCCGGGCTTGATTTCAGGCGGAGCTAGGGCATGAGCATCATACCACCGGGCCATCCTTAATCTAGCTTTACCCAAGCTGGCATTCATAGCCTGCCAGATAGATTCCCATTGAGATATCATGACCTCACTCGCTGGATTGTTCCATTCTACTCCTTCCTTTGGGGCCGGCCAGTTGGTCCTGGGTTCATATCCATAGTTGGCATAAAAAGCCGATACTTTGGTAGACTCAGAGACCGCCGAGTTATAAGCATACTCTGCCAAAGGCAAGAGTTCTGCCCAGTCATCCTGTTGATATGAACAATAACTCCGCAAGTAATGTTCCAGGGTCTGATTAACTCTTTCTGTTTGACCGTCCGTCTGGGGGTGGAAAGATGTGGACATCTTCAGCTTCACATTGAGGAGGCTCATGAGAGATTGCCAAAAGTGAGAGATGAACCTGCTATCTCTGTCCGAGACTATGTCATCAGGTAAACCATGGAGTCTCCAAACTTCCTTCAAGAACAATTTAGCCAAATCTTCCGTTTTATTGAGGGTAGGAAGAGGGATGTAGTGTGCCATCTTCGAAAGGCGGTCCACTATTACCCAGATCTTTGTAAACCCATTAGATTCCGGTAATCCCACAATGAAGTCCATAGAGATGGAAGTCCATGGCCGATAGGGTATTTCCAACGGTTGGAGCATACCAAACTTCTTGTGTCTTGAGGTTTTATTCCTCTGGCAGCTGTCACAGCTCCGGACATATTCCTCAACATCCTTATCCATGTTGGGCCAAAAGAAGTTATTTTTCACCCGCTCTAGTGTCTTAAATTGGCCGAAATGACCAGCCACCTTAGAGTCATGGGTATCGGACAGTATTTCCATCTGAAGCTTCTTGTCTTTGGGTATATACCATCTATTCTTGTAGAAGATGAGACCGTTCTTGACCGACAAGTTCTGGTCCAAATTTGGTTTCCTTTCAACCAGGGAGCGGTGCAATTCCTGCCAGAAACTATCCTCTTTAGCAGCCGTGTATAGGCGCTCTAAGAATGTATTCTGCAATTGATTCACCCTGACAGCCACTAGCTTTGCAGGATCCAAAACCAATTGACCTGGCCTAAAAAAGATCTGTGGCTCCGGCTGCAGAGTTTCACCTCCCTCTCCAAGGCGGAGATCCCAGCGCCTAGATAGCACATCAGTCTTGCCATTCTTTTCTCCCGGTCTGTAGACAACTTTAAAATTGTAGCCTGCGAGGTCCTCAGACCATCTAGCTTGCCGCCTAGTGAGAACCTTGGTAGAATTAAAGTACTCCAAGTTCTTGTGGTCTGTAAAAACCGTGATCTCTTGCTCACAAGATTTGAGCATGTGTTCCCATTCCCGGAAAGAGGCTACAATAGCTCCCATTTCCTTATCATGAATGTCATAGTTGATCTCAGCAGGGGAGAACTTCTTAGAATAGAATGCCACCGGATGTAGCTTCCCATCACCCCCATACTGAGAGAGCACCGCTCCCTTGGCAAAATCACTGGCATCTGTCTCGACCACCGTTCTCCTACTAGGGTCAAAATGAAGGAGGATTGGAGCGCTTGTGAACAGCCTCTTGAGTTCTTCAAAGGCCTGCTCATGTGCTGCTGTCCAATACCATTTCTTGTCTTTTTGCAGGAGGTCAGTTAGTGGTTTGCAAACCTTACTGAAGCCTTCAATAAAGCGGCGATAGAAGTTTGCAAATCCGAGGAATGCCTGTACTGCCTTGATATTCTCAGGGACCGGCCATTCCTTAACTGCCTCCACCTTGTCTTCTGACATAGATACTCCTTCTTCCGAGATGTGATAGCCTAGGTATTCTACTACTCGGACATGGAAGGATGTCTTACTGATCGAGGCACAGAGCTTAGCTTCCCTAAGCTTCTGTAGTACCCTCTTGACCAATAGCTCATGCTCTTTCTCAGTCTCCGAGTAGATGAGGATGTCGTCAATATAGACAACCACTCCTTCATCCAGTAGTTCCTTTAGCACATCATTAATCATTGCCTGAAAAGCGGAGGGAGCATTGCATAGACCAAACGGCATCACATTATACTGATACAGTCCATAGCGGGTTCTGAAAGCGGTCTTCCACTCATCACCTTCTGCTATCCTGATCAAATTGAAGCCGTTCTTCAGGTCTATCTTTGTGAAGATCTTGGCCTTGAACAACCTGTCTCTGAGCTCACTCATGATAGGCAGCGGGTACTTGTCCTTGACAGTGACCTTGTTCAATCCTCTGTAGTCCACACAAATCCGCAATGTCCCATCCTTCTTAGGAATGAACAGTATGGGCGCCGCAGCAGGGCTGTTAGATCTAGAGATCTTTCCTGAAGACAATTCTTTGTCCAGGTACTCTCGGAGGGCCTTCAATTCTGGAGCGGAACATGGGTATAGCGGGCCAAATGGGGGAGCGGTCCCAGGCAAGAGTTTGATCTTCAGATCATTATGGGAATGCGGCGGCATTTCCTCAATCTTCTCTTGACTGAACACATCAGCCCAATCCCGGTATAGGTGGTGTATTTTCTCAGCAATATCACCTCCGTCCTCATCATGCCATACTGAACCAACCAATTGATAGACTGTCTCTTCTTCTTCCAACATTTGGTATGGAGAGATCAGTTCAATCTTGGTGGCCGCTGGGAGACAATTCTGCTTGCAGTAGTCACTCCTCCAGCTCATGGTGTTGAGTTCCCAGTTGATGTCCGGGTTATGCTTCCTAGCCCAACTAATTGGCAGGTAACCGGTCATTCCTTCTTCCAGTGTAGCCACCTCCCATCGGAGTGTCTCTTTATGATCTCCCATAGTCATGCGGACCGGGTGAGTGTAATACTCGCCTCCTCCCATCATGACATCTCCTTGAGCATCAAACATTGTCAGAGGTTGATCCCGCCGTACTAAGGGAATTCCATGTTTCCTGACAAAATTCTGGTTGAGGATAGCTCCTGTACAACCGGTGTCAAACAGAAA